CTAAATATTGCTAGTAAGGGAGAGAGTGGTGCATAGATAGATAGATAGATATGAAAACGGTGAGATAGATAGATCTCGCACTGTTCTAAACCTGGGAGAGTGGCGTAGATAGATAGATAGATAGATAGATAGATAGATAGATAGATAGATAGATAGATATGAAAACGCTGAGATAGATAGATAGATAGATAGATAGATAGATAGATAGATAGATAGATAGATCACTGCTCTAAACTTGAGCGAGAAGGGCATAGATAGATAGATAGATAGATAGATAGATAGATAGATAGATAGATAGATAGATATGAAAACGCTGAGATAGATAAATCACTGCTCTAAACTTGAGAGAGAAGGGCATAGATAGATAGATAGATAGATAGATAGATAGATAGATAGATAGATAGATCTCGCACAGTTCTAAACCTGAGAGAGTGGCGTACATAGATAGATAGATAGATAGATAGATAGATATGAAAACGGTAGATAGATAGATAGATAGATAGATAGATAGATAGATCACTGCTCTAAACTTGAGAGAGAAGGACATAGATAGATAGATAGATAGATAGATAGATAGATAGATAGATAGATAGATAGATCTCGCACTGTTCTAAACCTGAGAGTGTGGCGTAGATAGATAGATAGATAGATAGATAGATAGATAGATAGATATGAAAACGGTGAGATAGATAGATAGATAGATAGATAGATAGATAGATAGATAGATAGATAGATATGAAAACGGTGAGATAGATAGATAGATAGATAGATAGATAGATCTCTCACAGTTCTAAACTTGTGCCAGACAAAGCCAAACTAAATAAATATTTAATGGATTTACCCGTAGTAAGAGGCAAGATGATCTCATCTCATAGGCCATTGAAATATTAAAAGACGGGCTGAGAAACATTGGGTTTGAACGTGTATGAGGCCCCGAAAATCTACACGCCACCACAAACAAACTACACACGCAAACATATCCCTGTTACCCCCACATATATGAACACACCACTGGCTCGGGCGTGGAGGAGTAGGATCTTCGCTGCTGCACTGAACAATTGACGGCGAGCGGGGTTTGGGGGTGAAAATGCCCACCTCCTTTCTCCATGATTCTTCCCTCGCCATGAAGCCATTCAGATGGAAATGCTAGCGACATGACTCATCAACTTCTTTCAAAATCTTGCTTTACTATCTTCCCCCCCTCGTATCTCCTCCGTCCGCTCGTTCCTCTTTTGTCACTTGTACTTTTATGCCCCCGTCCCAAGTCAGCCCCTTACCCCCCGTCAGCGATGTCCTCCCGCTTCAGCGCGCCGATTCTGGACGGTTTTCGATATTCAGATCGGCTAAAGATTTCGAATGATCACCAGGATGATGCCACTGCTTGCTCTGAAGTGTCTCCGTCCGCTGTTGACAAAGTAGATCCCTTTTTCAGGCTGCTATATACCACACACTCTCTCTCTCTCTCTCTCTCTCTATATCCATATATATATATATATATATATTGAGCAATAAGAAAAAAAAAATTAAAATCTTTAGACACACTGGGTTGTAGATTAATATTCTTTTCGTTTTTTATTATTATTCCATTTAGATTCCTCGACTAGTTTCGACCAAAATGGCCATCATCGGGAGGAGAAATATTTTTGCTTGCTGGTAGCACTAAACTACAGAAATGAATGTCTTTTGATGGAGAAAATGAACTTTTGTCTGTAGTTTTCATTTGTTTTTTTTATTTTTTTATTTTTAACATGAATCTTTTAACATTCCTTGTGTTGGTCAAACAGTCTCTTTTAAGTTGTTATTTGAGATAAGAGCTGGATAGATACATGCTGCTCTGAATTCTCTGGTCAGTTTGACAGTTTTATTGGACCTGGTGAGGGGATGTGTCTCTGTTTAGTGTTTGTGTGTGTGTTATTTGGGTCTTATATATATATATATATATACATATGGATATATATATATATGTACATAAAAATATGTATATATATATATATATATATATATATATATTTATATTACACAAAAAAATCCATAATTACCTCATATGAGTGTCCCTCTGTTATAATAATTACATTGAGCTCTTTTTGTGGATGAGTTTTAATATTTGATATTACTAGGATCCACTTGGATTATATACCTGTACACACACACACACACACACACACACACACACACACACACATATATATATATATATATATATATATATATATATATATATATATATATGCGTGTGTGCGTGTGTGTAGAAGTTAACTGATATAACACATTAACTTCTGTCCTAGTTTTTTTTGCAAATATTTCCTTTCTTAAATAATCCTCTTTTTTAAAAATTTAAAAACAATTTCACTCAATTGAGTAGTCCTTTGTCTTTGTACTCAGTGAACTAACAGTATCAAAATATTGCATTGTTTTTTTTTTTTGTTTTTTGTTTAGTTTTTAGATGTTGTGCAGTAGAACTAGTTTCCGACAAATGAAGTGTAAGACGTCTTGATAATGTTGTGGTCGTCAAATTAGTATATGTACTTATATTTTTTTTTTGTCAGAGATAAAATCTCCCAAAGGACATTTAAAGTTATATACAATGTTGGTCTTTTCCAAAACTCTAATTGATGGAGAATAGTTATTGCGCCTGATTAAGTTGGTTGTCTTAAATTTAGTATAATATATAATTAGTTTATATTTTTTACTGGTTCAGTGCGGAATATATTAGTAGATTATTTTGGATTTTTTCATCTTGTTTGTAGTTAGAATGCATTTGATTACAGTATCGTAGTTTGGTACGGTTATTTGAGGAAGTATTATGTACTTTCTGATTTATGTTAATATTTCTCATGGCTCGTCTAATTTTTTCGTCAACGATGTAATTAGGAAAGTCGTTATTAATGTGAGTTTGTTTAATGTTTTTTATCCAGTACACACACATATATATATATATATATATATATATATATATATATATATATATATATATATATATATATTCTTCGATCCTCACTGGGTGCCCCTACTTTCGGCCTTGTGCCACATCTAATCTACGCTTGGAAAATCATTATAATCTTTTTTTTTCGTGGAAAAGTTAACTTTTGCTACGTGTATTAAATTTCGTTTAACATCTATTTTTATATATATATATATATATATATATATATATATATATATATATATATATATAATCTTATAGGTATACTTTATATTTATGGGATAAAGGGCTCAGTATAGAGATAGAGCGTTTGTAAATATAAAAGTGAACATAGAAGTCAACAGTGAGAGGCGACAGACTGTTTCACGCTAGATGCAATTGTCAGGCTACGATGATTGCGTCTATCACGAAACAGCCTGTCGCCTCTAATTGTTGACGTCTACGTTCACTTTTATATATATATATATATATATATATATATATATATATATGAAAGGCACGGTGGAATTCGAATTCCAGTTGAATCCGGCGCATTCACTTACGTGCTAATCCCCTTGGGAAAGGTGTGAATCATCTTCTTCTCCCTCCAGCTATGGGTAAATAGCAGGACAGACTGGGTTCTATAGCCTTGGATGGCAACTGGTCTAAGAGAAGGACAACTCTGAATACAAAACCTACGGAGGGTCGTTTGGGGGCCCTGTGGTACCTAGTACACCAGGTCTCTGTAATCGGCCCTTCAAAAAGTGTGGATAGTCCTGCACGAAACATTCACTACGATAATCAAATCTCATGCGCTGGCGTCGGGCTGTCGGTTTCCCGCTTAACCCTCATACGTCGAATTCGACGGAAGATTCGAGTATAATTATATATATATATATATATATATATATATATATATATATATATATATATATACTAGCAGCATGACCCGGTGTTGCCTGTGCTTGATTCAAAAATCGTACGACTCATACAGCAATTGCTATCACTTGACTTAAAATATTTTGCCCTACCTTGCCTTTTAAAGGAGTGCTCTTTTCCGTGCTGATGTTGCTACATGCCTTACTTCTTGCCTATCTCACACTGCGAATTCTTTCTAAGCTCTATACTAAACATTAAATCTGTTACGAAAAAAGAACTAAACAAAATGAACACAAAACGATCAGCTTTAAAAAAAGGACTCGTAACTGGAAAAACCGAATGAAAAAGAATGTTAACAACAAATAATTTTTCACACCCAACCCAGTTCTGCGGAATCAGAATCAACGTTGAGTTTATGCAAGCGAATGAGCCAATTAGAGTAAAGTGCCATGCAGATTTAAATTTTTCTCACTTGTGACGAATGCAGCTATTGATTTTTTTTTTTTTTTTTTGCATGCTAGCATGCTAGTTAACATTCGTGTCAGTCAGCTGTTGGCTCTCACGCTGGCCAATAGAATCTTCCTGCTTATTTGTGGCAGCCAGCTATAGGCTCTCACTCTGGCCAGTAGAAAATGGCCGCAAACTACATGAAAACTGCCGTAGAGGCATGAAAAAATCGATTATTTCCACTATCGATGGGAGTTGGGAAATGCAAAGTCGGTCTTGGCCTTTTCACTAACTCGGAGCATGTGCATGTAAATTTTGGTGCAAATCCGTCGAGAATTGCGGCCGTTACACACACACACACACATCCTGCCTTTTATATATATATATATATATATATGTGTGTGTGTGTGTGTGTGTGTGTGTGTGTGTGTGTGTGTGTGTCTGTAAGTTTGTATCACCATTCTGTTATCATGAAGTACGAAGCAGTGATTGAATATAAGTCTTCAATAAGTCTTTTATCTGTTTGTTTAATAAGTGGAATCTTTAATAATTGTAGTTAATATTTATAAGTATTTTGTCAATAAAAACTTATCAGTGAGCTCTGGAAATATTAGACTTAGGCTAACTCTTTACTACGTCGACTGTAATAATTTGCTTAGAAAATATAACGTAAAATGAAATTATGCTTTGATAGGAGAATATAAGCAAATGTTATGTTTAAGTGCTTGAGGTCTTTTTCAACGGAAGGAAGCAATATGTTGCTGGGAGGGGTAAGGAATAGAATCAAAATCGTGCAGGTTTATAAATTAAATTTTCCCATCACCGTGAAAATAAAATAAAAAGTAAAATTAAAATAAAAATAAAATTAATGGAAAATAAACATAAAAACGGCTAACACACAGAGAGAAATAGATAGGGAAAATGAATTATTTTATTTAAAAAAAATGTCATTTTTTTGAAAATTGGCAAAAAAAAAAAATGTCCATATGTGAAGCGTGTTCCGTGCTGTCTGAATTGAAGAGGACTTTGCTGCCAACTGGCTTGTTCCGTATGAACAACCGTTGAACGTGTTTGATTGACGAATTGAGAAAAATCCTATTAAATTCGCTTCTTCTATTTTGTTCCGCACTTGACTAAACAGGGAAAAAAGAAACGTGGCGTCCATTCGTCTCTTGCTGAAGTTTCAACTTCTATTGGTTTGTGATTACCTTTTCGATGAAGACAGACAGAACCGGTGGTTAGCCAAATAAAGGAAAATGTCCCCAGGAGCGAGGGTTCAGACTATTTGGATATTTCAATAAAAATATACAAAAAAAAAAAAAAATAGATAATAAATTGAAATAATTTTCTAGAAAAGTTTAACTTTGTGATAATAGCAAATTATTTTTATCCTCTTTGTAAATCTTCAACTTTTAAGCGGACATTTTGGAAAAGACCTGAAAAGACTTTAAGGTTGAGTGAATGAAAATATAACATAGAAGAAAAAAAATGTATAGATTTACTAATTGATCACACAATACAAGTCCCAAGAGCCAGTCAAGGTAGAGGATTATTGAATGGGATTGATGTATAAACGTAAGAGGAGGAAGTAAGGAGTGCAGTTCTTGAGAAAATATATATGTGCGATATGAGTCTCTTCTAATATCTGTGTAAGTATAACAACGATCGATCGATAGATAGATACAAGTTCCCTTCATATATATATATATATATATATATATATATATATATATATATATATATATATATATATATATATATATATATATATATATATATATATATGTATATATATATATATATCATATATATATATATATCATATATATATATATATATATATATATATATATATATATATATATATATATATATATATATATATATATATATATATATATATAT